TTTATTGTGAAGAGTCAGCTGAGTTCCCATAGGGGTCACTCGTGGGGAAACTTGAGAACAGCTTCTTAGTTCTGCTAGTGCCATTTGTGCTAGGATGGGTCCAGGTCTTGCTTGACCATGTGGCTTCACTTGGAAGCATCAGGGATGTCTCTTGTCTCTAATGAACCTCCTCTTCATAGCAAATGCACCAATTGGCTTTTCATTCTCCAGTGGTCTCAATAGTCAATCTGATCAGGAGGTTATGTGACCTAGAGTTGCAAAGCACTTTAGACAAATTCCCTGTTCCCTAGATTTCAGACTGACTCAGAGGGCAAGTGCCAAATATTGGTTTTCTTGGCCATTTTAATTTAAGTTTAAGTCTTGATCATAAACATCCAGCAATGTTAGTTTCACCTTAAATTAAGAGTATTGGGCTTTAGCTGAAGTTTGGCCTACTTTGGAGTCATTCTGACATGTAGTAAGATGGAAGACATAGCCTTATCTCAGGTAAGCTAGGGCTCTTTATAAATCTTAGGTAAAGTGTTCTAGTATTGAAGTTGATCTTTTTTTAATATATTATTTTATAAAGTTTACATATATTGTTGCTTGATGTCACATGAATATTAGCTAACACAATATGATATTACATTTAAATTGTACCCAGTGTATAGAACTTTATATTAATCTTATTCATAACAGGTTTAGTTATAGAACATTAAATGACATAAATACATCTCCAATATGTTATTTTTATAAGCCTAAGTTTACCATTCAACCTTTTGGAGAACAACAGCTTGATATAATTTTTTAAAAGCTCCTATATTAAAGACTTATATACCTGGAAAATATGAACACATTTATTATACAAAGAAGAATAATAGTACCACAATTACATTGATGTTTTCATATTAATCAAGTTTAGCTCTTAAAGAAATAACATATTACAATATTGCAAAATAACAGTTGTTGTTTAACCATAGTTGTATAATCCTGAATTCCTTCAAGATTACTTGCTCAAAAAACTTACATACATAACCAGTGTAAATAGACCTTCTTTATCACTTGCTTAAACTTATATAACCAATGTACACAGACCTTCTTTATCATTTGCTTAAACCCTCTTATTTACATAATAGACTCTCTTATCCAGAAACACATTTTACTTCTATTAAATTCATACTTAGAACCTTTAAATTTCTTTTTCCCATCTGTTAACTCTTTTTTTATTCACACTTTGAAATAATCCTTGTAAATTTCTGAATTTGGGCAAATTATTCCAATTTAATAAGAGATATTTTGTTATTTGCAGTACAAAATTAATCATATCTGTTTACCATTTCATTAAAACATAAACAATGTTTAAATGTATATAATTATATTGTTCTAGGGACAAACAAGACAAGGTACCTAAGATAGCAGTGAAGATAGGGAAACAGTTTTATTTGGTTGCAGCCAGATTCAGAGAGAACAGCTTCTGCTGTAATCAATTAATGCCCTGAGTTTCAGAATTTTGCACCCAGCATGTAAGGGAAGGAGCTCAGAATTTCACAGTCTGCAGAAGTTCAAAAACGCAGTTTTTTTTTTCTTTGTTCTGGGAAAGTTAACCCTTCAAGGACACCTTGGAAGGGGAGAGCTTTTTCTTCCCTTTCTTTCCTCCCCCTGCCAGCTGTTATCATGGAGCCCAGTTAGTAACTCCCTTATTTTAGAAATGTAGTCAGCACTTGTGAAAAACTAGTAAGGAGGTGTCCAGCATCTGGAGTGCTGATTTTTTCCAGACAGTAGCCAAGTAAAACAGGGCAACATGAAAATAGGAAGTTTATCTACACTGAACTGTTTTGTAGAGATTCTTTGCTGAAAGTC